CGGTAACAAATAATATATGTGGGGGAGTGGCTCACGTTTCATAATAGAGAGGGAAATCTTAGTAAATTAGTAAAAAGGACAGAGAAAAGAGGATGGTTGATGGATTTGTCCCTCATTTTGTCTATGTTCATGCATGAAAGAGAGGTGAATTTTGGAAAATTTTTAATAAGGAGAGTAATTGGGTGCTATTTGAAAACTTGCTATTTTTACTTATTGCTCGCCTTGAGAGGCATTTCCCTTCGAAAGGGAGTTTAGAGTGGGGGCCACATGATTAATGAGTTTTTTATTTATTTCCTACAACCAATTAATCAATTGATTGATGCAAATGAAGTAACAAATACATTTAAATTATAAATATTGCATGTTATTAATATATAAATATATATACAAATATATTAGTTAATATATGTTTATATGTTAACTTATATATTTAATATATTTAAATATATTAGATTTATATTACATTTAAATAATAATGGCTCTTTGACCTCTCAACATTCACCGAATGAAGCCCTCGATCCAGACGTGCTTATGCAGTCTGTTTTGAAAAATTGTGCCTCTGAAAAATTTTTATATAAGCGAAAATTCATGTAAATAAACCTTATGCATGCAAATCACATAAAAATGAACGCAACTAATGAGGCAGATATAAAGTCAACAAATTCCCCCCCAATAAATATGATATGCAACTGAAGCGAATCATGTTTGTTTTAAGCTGATTAACCCAATGAATTTCCAACAACTTATTTGGATGTCACGTTGAGGGATTCATTTAACAGATCTATGTGAGGGCTGATAGGGTGTCGATGCAACGTTTGAACTAAATTAGATATGCAGCTATATATTATTCTTTGGTTGTTATTGCCTTGCAATTTAGATAATTTATTGAAACTCGACACTTTTTTTTTGATAGAAAAATTAGCCCATGATTGAGAATTTAATTAAATTTCTGTCTTGCATGGTTTGTCATCACTGACTCTGTAGGGGGATTAAAGTTATTACCTGCCCTCTATTTTCTTCTTTGACAGACTTGATGAAAGAGGATCAAATTTGTCCCTATTGACTTGTCAAGAAAATTGAGCATGCCTTCGACATTTTGCTTCCCGCTTTGATGGGCTTGATAAAAGAGGCATACTGATGAGCTTGCTTTTGAGGCCTATACAAGATCAATGGTAAAAGCATCAACATGTCCAACACTTGTTGGACTGATGGATGCATTGATGCATAACACCCTTGATTCATTCTTAGGCTCCATATGAACATCAAGATAACTTCTTCAATCATGTGCTTTATGCTTTGGATTCATTGAAAAGGAAATTCTTTGGTTTGTGCTTTGTGCTTGATCGAATCTATTGAAGATGATATTAAGTTTGACTTAATGTCTTCTTAGTGAGGATCATCTCCTTTGTTGTTTGTTTAGCTCCTAAGATCTCTTGGATTTAATAGCTAGAGCTTGTCAAGTTTGATTAGCTTGAGCGGAACAACCGTTGCATCAGAATGACAAAATGCGGGCTTTTTCACTGCAGCCTTAGTTTGTTGACTAATAAAAACAGTCAGTGATTTGGCCATAGGCTTGTTCAGTCCAGCCTTCAGGACCCACTTGAGTTATAGACTAGGGTTGTTGATGGATTAACTGTCTTATCATCGTCAAATTAGCAAATGGGGGCTCTTCCATTACAACTTTAGCTTGTTGAGTGCAAAGACTAGCCAGTGACTCTGCCACGGCTTGTTGAGTTCACCTTCAGTACCTGCTCGAATATTAGGTTTGAGCTTTGAATAGAATTTTGCTTCAGTCATCGACAAACTGACAAAACGGGGGCTCTTCCACTACGACCTTAGCTTCTTTAGTACAAAGAGCAGCCCATGACTCTCTCATAGGCTTGTTGAGTTTGACCTTCAAGACCCTGTTTTGAGTCCTAGAATTGAGCAAAAAGGGATTTGAGCTTCTCCAACTTAACTTGCTGAAGCTTGCCGATTTGGAAGTCTTTTACATCTAATGTTTGAAACCTTGACAAATCTTTAGAGACAAACCTTTGACTGCTGGAATTTTCTTATGCATCTTTTTTGAATTTATTTTGCTTCATTTTAGCTGACTGAATGCAGCTTTGACATTAATAATTTGAATATCCTCTTGAGGATCTTGCCAGGAAGCACAATTTCATTTGAACAGAAGACATCCATATTGGGCACGATGCTAACCATTGCAGCTAAAAATCTCAGCCTTAACTTATACTTATATTAAAAGGAGGGTTTATTTTATGATGCATGAACATTGGTTGTGTGGCAATCGAGGATTTCGGCTTTAGGTGCAGTGTCAACCCGAACCATATACTTTCTGCTTGACGATTGAATGATTTCAAGATTTGAGGGATAGATTGGGGCTCCTAGCATTGGACATGTTGTCAACATTGGGCATGTTGTTAATCCGAAGGATCTTTGGACTTAATCAATAATGAAGTGATTTCATTATTTTTAAGTATATTTGGTGGTTTTGGAATTTATCACATTCCCAACCCATGTGATTTAGAAATTCCTGTCTTGCAAGAAAGATTTGTCAGTAGAAGATATTTTCTAGGAACTCGGCATGTAACAAAATAATGTCACATAAATATATAAAAAAGATGTCCCATATCTTGCAGGTGAAATTTTAGCAGTATGAAATGTTTTGAGGAACTTGATGTGAAACACGATGTTACCCAAATGAAATGAGAACACTCCCTGTCCTGATTTTGGGGATCTTGACCATGAGTGCAATATCAATCTAAATAAAATAAGAAAAACCCTTGTCCTTTAAAGGGAAATACAGCGACAACCATGTACATTTTCAAGAATCTCAAATCGTAACATATTATCACCCAATTGAAATAAGAATGCTCCTGTGTTTTACAAAAGAAAGTTTCTGGCAGTGAGTGGTAGTGTTTGGGGATTTTGTCTGAAGGCACGATTCAACCCAAATATATATAAATAAGTGCCCCTATCTGTAAGGAGAATTTCAATAACATAAAATGTATATAAGGATTATGGTATGAAACATGATATCACCCTGAATGTTTGGTTTTGTCCGAAAAAGAAGTGATTCTGGCATTTGATATAATTATAGTTATAATTTGACAAAGAAGTGATTCTGGCATAGATTATAGTTATAATTCATTTTGTTGTTTTGGATTTTTTGGAGAGAAAATGACCAAAGTCATATCCTACAAGGAAAAATTGGATACCCGTTCACCTGCGGGGTTGAAGTTTGCTGACAGTGAGATCCCTTGGCAGACTTTTCAAGGTTTCAGCCATTTTGAGATTCATCAATAAAACTTTTTCAGAATCCATCTTTGAATAAGCTTATTAATGGCAGATCTCTGAGAGAGCAAATCAAATGTCACTTCAATTTATTCTTTGGTCATTTCATCCCGTGAATCAGGAGCTGTCATAGCAGAAGAAAGATGACAACTTCTTGATTAGAGCTCAGTTGGTTTCAACCATAAGAAGCTTTCTATATGTATATTCTCCTCATTAAGGTTCCTTCTTTTAGAGCCTTCAAAATTTTGAGCATTCTATTAGATAGAATGCCAATTCACTTTTTCTCAATGGTTAGGGTTTGATGCTGTCGAGCCTAAAGTGACCGTTTCACCTCGCCAGTGGAGCTATTCCTTTTAACATTTTTTATTTCAAGTTTACCATGGGTAAGGATAACCCCTTCTCACTTTAGAACTCCTTAAATAATGAGTTGATCTAATAGTTTTTGCGCGATGATAATTATTCTTATCATCCAGTTTTCTTTGATGGACGAACTGAAAAGCCTAACCTGTAGGTATTTCAGTAGTTGATGTCTCTTGATGAAGCTACAGACAGATACAATTGTAGCCCTAGCGTCAGTGATGTGAATCTCCAAACCATCAAGCTTTATAGTGGTCATGCATAGTGAGATTCTTCTAGAGGACTATAATGATGAGATTTTACCAATGACAGATCCCGAGAGTGTTGACCAGATTCCCCGTTCTTTTCTATCTTCAAAATTTTTTTTATTCATGAATCTTCGGCCTCTATATTTGCTTACCTTTTCTACTTGAGACCTTTTGGTGATGGAATTCTAAACATAAGGTCCAGGTGTCACACCTCGATGTTCATTGAGTCGTAATTGTCTGGATTAATATTGGGCTATCAAAACAGGTGATTGCTATTTAACAGGCTCTTGATTAGCCCCGATCACAACCGATCTTTCATGTTTCCTTTCCATAAGGCATTTTCCTTTTAACGGCCTTTAGGATTCAGTGCAGTCTAACAAATAAAGTCTCGAGTTTCTTATTTTGGACAATAAAAGCAGATGATTGAAATAGTTGTTGTTGATGGTCGTGACAGCATTGTAGTATTTTGTCCATTTGTCATTAAATCCTCTATCAAATTGGCCAATTTGAATGCTTGTAGGAAGGATTGTGTTTGTACGTGCATAACTCACACCGAGTGTCTTAAAATAAACCTAATTCAAAATAGCTTTGGAGGAAAGACGCTGGAATACTCCAAATTTGATTAAAATATTTTTTAGAGTGATTGTATAATTCTTTGATTGATGTTGTTTGGTGTATAATTTGGCCAATTCGACTTGGAAATCTCAACACAAAGCAGTTGAACCGTGATAAAATTGTATTTTCTTGCGTTTTATTTAGCTGATTTAATCCTCCATAATCGTCTAACGACAAGCAACGGATTTCGCTTGAAGTTGTGACTCGAAACCTTCAAAATCTTTTTGCTGAACTTCCTAATTCAAGTTTTGCTGTGAAGTAGAGTCTACATAAATTTAAGAAATTCTACCCTCTCAAGTATTTTAAAGTTCTTGTGCAAGCTTATATGAAAACTATGCAGACAACTCACTTCGAGTAAAACCTGCATGAATTTATTATGGTTGCTTGTGCTGTTATAACTTATACTAATACTAAGATGCATCCTTGCTATTTGTCTGCTTACATCACGATGTTCTGTTTATTTATTAATTTCAATTTATTTTTCAGGAAGACATTATTTGCAAGCCAACCTGGACCCATTAGCATATTTTAATCATCGGGAGAGAAAACGAGAATGGCCTGTGCTATGGATATGAAATGAAGACATTAATTGACTGAATGATTAAGATATGGAAGTTTACTAGTGTAAGCTTCAACACAAATAGGTTGGATCTTGTTTCAGAATAATCAGTTTTTGAGCATACATGTGCCTCTCAACAATGATTTCTTCTGTCAGTAAATAAGGTACTGTCACAACCATAGGCTTTTTTGAAACACATTCTTTCTCATGATTGAAAACACAATTTTATTGATGTGGAACATTGTCTGTCAGATAATGCCAAATGTACCGACGGATTTTAAGGCTAACCTGGCGGAAGCTAAAAAGCATTTAGTAACTCACTCTGCGTATGTATTCATTACTTCTGTTTGCATGCACAGATTACAAATATATTTGAGCATTGCCATTTAATCTGAAATCAACTTTTTAATATGAGATTACACATTTATATCTTTAAACTGCTGCCATTTTATCTTGTATATTTTTATGTAATTGGTATTGGCCTGGAGCGGAGACAAATAAATGTGAGATCTTGGATTGTGAAAGTTATTTAGCTCTTTTGTTAGACTTGTAGGGAGAGTGAAGTCTACTTTTATGTTGGAGAGAGAATCTGGATGGATTCCGATCTAGTCTAAATATGGAGAGATTTTTAGTTTCATTTGTCTCAATTCTCTTATAGAAGCGCTGAATTATTTTCTGGATGCAAACAGAGAGCTAAGAGGTATCAAATTAGAAGGGTCAAATTAAATAAATGAAATGTTATAACGAGACTGGGTCATTTGACACATTTCCGAACTACTGTCTTTCCGCAATTTTATATGACATTGAATGGCCCTGACCTGTTGATAATCAGTTTATGCAGCTAATTTTAGGTACGGTTAAAACATATGAAGTTCTCCGGGTTTATTATTCAAAAAATTAATTGTAAAATGAATCTTTTCTTCCTTGGATGAAAACTGAAAAGGCTTGAAATTCAATTCATATGAAAATTTGTGTCTATCAATATTGTTATGAAAAATGTATATTAGGAAGCTTGTATATTAGGAAACTTGATATTAGACAACCTTATTAATGGAGATTTAATTCGAAGTTCTTTTCTATATTAGACTTATTTCTAATCGAGAAAAATGACAGTGTATATAAATATTTAATATATGTTTTCAATTGGAAATAAGAAAAGAGGAAGCTTTCCATCACATGGTATTAGAGCTTTGTCTGCGGCTGCTTCGTTCGTTTGACAAAGATGATGTAGCCTGCTTCGGAACAAGCACCGCCTTCAGCTTCGTCGCTAGCATCCCTAGATGTCTTCGACTTTATCATCTACATCGATCGATGTCATCATTCGATGCTTCAGTTTCGTTCGAAGGACTCGTCCGCTGCAAATGTCGTTGTCATCATTTTGTGCTTCAATTTTTTTCGAAGGCCTTGTTCTCTTTACAATCCACATTGGCTCAAGGTTCGAAGGTAGTGTGGTATTATCATCATGAACCTGGTCATATGAAGAGAATGTGTCAGAAGTTACTCAAAAATAACCAATAGGGTTCTAAATTACTGTCAGCTCACATGGTCACTACTAACGATATTTCTATGTGTAACTCTCTTGATCTTTACAGATGAATATGCTAAGTTCATCAAATTTCATGGAACATACAAGAAATTCTTCTCTATCATTACCCTTGCTAAGTTAGGTAACAATGATACTTGCCTTCTTTCCTCTTCCACACAATTGTTTATTGATTTTTGTGCTACAGATAACATGACAGGTGGTCTAAAACTTTTGTCTATCTTTCATAAGCATCTTTCTTTCGTCACTTAGCAGACAAATCTACCTCTAATATTCTTGTTTATGGCAAATGTTACACACAAATTACTTTAACTTCTATTCACATTTACCTCAATTCACTTTTATCTTATTTTTGTTAGCAAAATTAATAGATTTGTTACCTCAATTCACTTGTTTATGCGCTCATAATTGCTGTATCATATTCTTTTTAGATCATTGTTTATTTCAGGATCTTATGACGAAGAAGATTGTCTGCAAACGATGAGAATTAGGGGGGCAATACATTGTGGATAAGGGGAAACCTCGACCCATAGCTTGTTCCAGTTCCTTATCTTCTTTTGAGATTCATTATTGATTAATACATCCATCACTATCAATATTGAAAAGGTTATACCCTCAATTTTAGCAATTATCATCCTTAGATTGTGAGTCGTGTCAATTTACTAAACAGTATCATTTTTATTTTCTTCTTAGAGTTAATGAAAAAGTAACTCGGTTTTAAATTGGTGCATTCTGATTTTTGGGAACTTTATCTATTATCTAATGGATTTACTTTGGTCACTTTTGTGGATGATTTTTCTGACTTGGTTTTACTTCTTGAAATCTCGCATTGAGTTACTATCATATTTTCAATCTTTTTGTGTTGGAATTAAAACTAAATTCAATATTTCGGTTAAGATTCTAAAAGTGACGCTAAAAAATATTTTTATGCATCCTTTTTGACATATATGACACAAAACGAGATGTTTCACTAGTCAGCCTGTGTAGATACTCCATCCCAAAATGGATTAGCTAAAAAAAAAAAAAAAGACATCGTCTTGAGACGGCTAGAGACATTTTGTTTAAAACCGGTGTTTATAAATAGTTATGGGTTGATGCAGTTTCTATTATATATTTTTTGATCAATTGGATGTCTTGTATTATTCTATAGAATCATATACCCTATTAAATCTTGTACCAATTAATATACTTCAATATCAATATCAATTTCCATTAAAGTGCTTGGGTGTCTTAGTATTCCCCCGTCAGTGTCTTAAAAGAGTGAATCTTTCATAGTCTCATGCACATACAAGCAATCAATTTTAACTTATCATTCACATTATA